CCTGCCTGCCTGCCTGCCTGCCTTCCTGCCTGCCTTCCTGCCTGCCTTCCTGCCTGCCTTCCTGCCTGCCTTCCTGCCTGCCTGTCTTCCTTCCTTCCTGCCTGCGGGCCTGCCTGCCTGCCTGTCTTCCTGCCTGCCTGCCTTCCTTCCTTCCTGCCTGCCTGTCTTCCTTCCTGCCTGCCTGCCTGCCTGCCTGCCTGTCTTCCTTCCTGCCTGTCTGCCTGCCTGCCTGCCTGCCTGCCTTCCTGCCTGCCTGCCTGCCTGCCTTCCTGCCTTCCTGCCTTCCTGCCTTCCTGCTTGCCTGTCAGTGTTGATGTCACCCTTGATCCCCTGGCCAAGGTGGTATTGGGAAGATGGCCCTTTGTAAAGTCACCCCCACCCCCGTTCTTCGGGAATAAATCTTCCGGGCCATGTACACAAGAACTGAGAGCAGGGGCTTGCACACCCATGTTCACAGCAACCATACTCACAACAGCCCAAAGGGGGAAGCCGTTGAAGTGTCCATCAACAGATGAACAGATCAACAACACATGGGCTCCACCTCCCGGGGAATATTACACAGCCTTAAAAAAGAGGGCAATTCTGACCCCTGCCACACAAACATGGATGAACTGCGAGGATGCTGTCCTAAGTGAAGCAAGCCAGTCCCCCAAAGACAAAGACGGCCTGACTCCACTCCATGCGAGGTGCCTAGCGCCGGCACACTCCTGGACACAGGAGGTGGAGCAGAGTGTTATCAGAGGTGGGGAAGGAGGAAGGGGGGGACCGTTACGGGGACAGAGCCCACCCTAAAGGAGGCAAGGATTAAACCATTTTCACATCACGTTACAGCATAAGAATGTCTACACTTCCTTGCAGCTCTTCAGGAAAGTGATGTCCATGCCTACGTTAGAAATCAACCAATGGGAATGTGATACTTGGTTTGAAAAGTTGTCTTTTGTCATTTAATCTATGTCCAGTTTTTCCTTATGTTCACATTAGCACCAAATCATGTTCCAAGTTAACATAGGTTGTGACCCTCACGGGAAACATTTTCAGGGCCACTGTAGGATTCTTGGTCCTTGTACCATGACTCCACAGTGCCCCATTGGACAGACATGCTCTGCTTTCCTAGAGTCTTCCCTTCCTGTTGCTGCTCACGTTGGCGGGGGCGCCTTGAGGTCAGGGTCTGGCTGGTTTGGTCTTCCTGGTGTTTGTCAGATGAAAGAAAGTTCTCCCTTTCATTCCTAGACATAACATTGAGCAAATGGAACATTCTAGCTTGGGAAGCTTTCCTTATGACATTTCCAGGCCTGGGGAGACTGAGTCAGAAGTGTCAGTTCTTTAACAGTAACTCTTGGCTGGATTTTTAGAGGCAACCCCCACCCACAACCCCATCTTTGAGCCTTTAGAGTTTAGTTGTCTCTTATCAGGGAATTCGGTTCTGAGGTTGTGCAAACTGTGAATATTTCTGTGATCAAAATACCCCTTGAGAAACCCCCCTTCCCTCAGCCGAACCTTCTGTGAGGGTCCCTGGAATTGTGTTCCCTGGTGGGAGGCTTACCATGGCTGCGTCCCACGGAGAGCAGATTGTCTCCTGCATTTCTAACAAATTCCCAGCTGATGTTGGTGCTGGTGGTTGGGGGACTCAACTTAGAAAAGGATCCTCTAGGGGCACCTGGGTGGCTCAGTCGTTAAGCGTCTGCCTTCGGCTCAGGTCATGATCCCAGGGTCCTGGGATCAAGGCCCACATCGGGCTCCCTGCTCAGCAGGAAGCCTGCTTCTCCCTCTCCCACTCCCCCTGCTTGTGTTCCCTCTCTCGCTATCTCTTTCTGTGTCAAATAAATAAATAAAATCTTAAAAAGAAAAGGATCCTCCAGAGCTGCTCTGTCTAATACGGTGGCCCCTAGCTATAGGCGGCTATTTAAATTAATTAAAATTAAATAAAATTAAAAATTTAGTTCCTGGGTCATGTTAGCCACATTTCAAATGCTCAGTAGCCACATGTGGCTAGTGGCTACCCCATCGGACAGCCCAGATCTGGAACACTGCCATCGGGTAAATCACTTCATTTCTCTGTGCCGTAGTTTTCTGATCTGTAAGAGAGAGCTAATAGTTGCTGCCCCCCTGGGCTGGTGTGAGGTCTCAGCGGGCATGTGAAAGTGCTTAGATGATGCCCGGCTTGTGGTGAGTGCTGACAAGGGCTTAAGATTGTCCTTACTGCTCCAGGAACCTGTGGGTGGCAGAGGTGTTGGCCCAGCCTCCCGTGGCAGGTAAGTTTCCTCGGGCGGCGTGGCCAAGGCTGCTGGGGTGCGGTGCCGTAGGAGCTGGGACGGTACCAGGCCGGCAGGGGGAGCTGCCACAATGGTGGAGTGATGCCTGCCGCGGAAGGGAGAGGGGCTCCGTGTGGCCCGTGGCAGGGACCATTTCTTGCCTTCCCTCTCCGGAGGAACTGCCCTGGTTCCTAACCCACGGTCACAGGCTGAGCCTGCAGGAATCGGAATCTGAGCTGGGTGTTAGTGTGCGGGAAGCTTACTGGGGAGGGCGTGGGGGAGGGACACCTGTGCATACTGGCAGGAATTAGCTGCCGTGGTCACAGCCACGGGCTCCAGAGCCATCCTCCCTTGAGGTCCTGAGAGGGTTGCGGATGCTGGATTTAACCTTGCTGAGGCACTCTCTTCATCTGAGGACGGGGAGAGGGGTGAGGTTGGGGGCTGCCGGATTCTTCCCCTCCAGCAGCTGGGGAGTCCCAGTGCCTGTCCTGGCTCAGGGTCAGGCGGTGCAGCGCAGACCCACAGGCCCACAGTGGGGGGCATGGAGCGGCAAAGGCACGGCACAGGAGCCCAAGGAAGCTCTGTGGCCCCCACCTTTACCTGGGGGCTCCATTGCTCTGCTGTAAGGTGGGACTTTTGGAGCAGCTGGATTCGGGTGCCCTGTTGCTCAGAGTCTTGTGCCCCCAGGTCTGGTTTGCTCCACTGGCTCCCAGCCCCCCTGTCTCTGTACCTGGAGCTACGTAGGGAGGTTTCTTGACCCTGTTTCGGCCTAGAGGTTCTGGGTTCCCCAGGGGACTCTGACCTCTTCCCTGGTGCCGGATGAGCCCTGCAGGGCCACCAGCTTGGCCACACCCTCTCCTTGCCCCCGTCTTGGGGCACCAGCCCCTGTTGCTCCTCTCTTTTCGTCCTGTTCCTGGCCAGGCTCTTCCTGGACATCGCGGGGGCTGGGTCAGAAAGGGGCTCTCAGCCAGCCTGCTTGATTCTCTGCCCGGCCAGCCCTACCTGACGTTGTTGCTCTCATTTCTGGGAAAGCCCTTGGTGCTGACCCTGTCGTAGTGGGGGGCAGGGAAGCCTCTTGCAGGTAAAGGTGTCTGATGTTAGGGAGGCTGTTAGACTAGAGGTAGAAAGGCTGACAGTGGGGACACTGGGACAGCCGGGAGCCCCACTCCGTGGTCTGCAGGGCCAGCTGCGGAGGGTAACGTGCTGCTTCTCTCCGGATGTACCGGCAGAGGCCGAGTTGACAGCGTTGGGGAAACTCGGCCATTTTCTGCCCACATCCTGGACAGGCTTCCTTCCTTGACCACGCACAGCCCTGTCTGGTCGGACGTCTCCAGAACACAGAGCAGTTTTCTCTGACCGTACCAACAGCACCCCCAGACCACCCTCTCTCGCTCTAGCAGACACTCAGCTCTGTAGCCGCAGGGGTCTGGATGCCATGCCCTTGACCCCCCCCCACCCCTCCCCACTGTTCGTGCTGTCCCTGGAGAGGTAGGGAAATGCCCTGGAGTCCACCTCCCCCACCTCCCAGCTCCGAACCTTCTGAGTCTGTGTCCTCACCCGGGATGTGGAGATGGTGAGGGTACCCACCCCAGGAGGTCGTGAGAGCATGGAGGGAGTATGTGTCTGTGCGTCCGTCCATCCCCCAGAGCGGTGCCTGGCGTTGAATATGTGCGGCTGAAGTTCCGGTCGCTACTGTTATTAACTAGAGCTACTACAGGTATTTCTTTTGCTCAGAATGTGCTCTCCCCTTCTTTCCTCTGGAACTGAACTTGCCCCCTGGCCCAAGTGAAAAGCATGCATGGGGGTTTCTGTGATGTGGTCCACATGACTATACCTTTTGGGATTTGATTCAAACCCGGGCTCTGCTGTCACCCAGCTCTGACCTAGAGCAGCGTTATCCCTCCCAGACCCTTCCCCCGTTGCCTGTTCTGAAACCCGAGGGTGGGTCATGCTTCCTCTGTAGGGGGTCAGGTGTATGGAGGGGTTTGGTAACATTATTGCCTGGATGACACCAGGGCAGCCTGGCACATAGTAGGTGCTCCTCTGAGGCTGGATCCTTCCCCTTTCCCCTCCGGCCTTCTGTGACCGCCCCCCACCCCTTGGTTTGAACCCCTGGGACGTTTCGTGTCTGCCCCTCGAGGTGAATAGAGCTGGGGTTTCCCTGTTTTGCAGCATCAGCCTCCGAGAGTTGAAGACCATCTTACCCCTGGTCAACTTCAAAGTGAACAGTGCCAAGTTCCTCAAAGATAAGTTTGTGGTAAGTTTCCTAGCTTGGCTGGCCTGGCAATTTTGTGAACTTAGGGTCACTTAGCCTTTGAGCCCCATCGAATGGTGCCCAAGAAAACCCTTCACCTCCAGATGCATCTGTCCCAGTCCAGACAGAGGGACCACGCGAAGGTCGTAGGGCCCTGCTCGCAGCCCTAGCTGAGGACGTCCTCCACAAGGACGCTGTTTGCTGAACTGCTTGGCTGGCTCCCACCAGTATAGCCTTCCCGTTTCCTTACCGTCCTGCAGCCTACTTTCCTTCAAATAATACGAACTAATGTGTTTCTTTTGGGAAATATTATGAAAGGCTCCTTATGTAGGTTGTCAGGGGCATGGTGTCTTGTATCCAAGACCACCTCCTAATCTAGTTGTCTGAGTTGGCTCTTCCCTGGCTTTCCCCCCACTTCCCACTGAGCCGTCCTTCCACCCATCATTTAGTTTGGTTACGGTCTGGTGTCATGAAGCTGCTGGCAGATCTGTGGCAGGTTAAGTCACTCCAAGAGTGATGGTGCAGTGTGGGGCAGGTGGGGCCTTCCTGAAAGGGGTTAGGATGGAGATGTGTAGGCCCCCTGACTGGTGCTCAGAGAGATCCCGACTCTTGTCAAGGAACTCAGTGACACTCTGTCTCCCTAGCTCCAGTTGCAGGACTCACGTGGCCTTGCCAATGGCAGCCCCAGTCACAGGCTTCCTCAGCCATGAAAGTGCATTCATTTTTGTACCAGTGAACTCTCGGAAGAGTTAACCCACTTTCTGGCTATCAAGCCATCTTTTGACCTGTCTGGAACATTCCAACTATTCTAAGAAGGCAGAAACAGAGACAGGGGGAGCATTTACCATCGATCGTCACGTCGTTGGAATCTTGTTCTTTATCAAGGCTTTCCTGAGCTGGCAATACGTAGATGTTACTGGTTTGGTTTGGGGGAAGTCCTAGGGAGGGCGGTGGTGGTTTTCCCATTTTATAGATGAAGAAACTGAGGGTCCGAATGGATTGGGTAAATTACCCAAAGCCATAAGCAGTTCGGGGGACAAGCCTTGACTGGAGTTGAGCTCTAACTCCAAAGGCTTGGTTAGTTTTCCCATGCTTTTAGAATGACCCTGTGCTAGGCCTGGATTTGGAAGTGTCTTCTGCCCCCAGAGGGAGGAGTTCTGCGTTACCGCTCTTGGAATTCTGGCCAAATCTCTTCTGGTGTGAAGGGCAAGAGCAGGATCTTACCCGCACCAGGAGCCCTGGTGCGTATGTTCTCCAGGCAGGTACATGAGGAAACCTGTGGACAGTTTGGGTTCAGAAGAAGGTGAGTTTGCTTGTAGCCAGTGCTGTAGGTCAGCCCTTCCGCCTGGTCACAGTGCGGCGCCCTACTTCTGGGGACTTCAGAGATCACGTGGTCATTTTTTTTTTTTTAATTTACAGGAAATCGGTGCGCACAAAGACGAGCTCAGCTTTGAGCAGTTCCACGTGTTCTATAAAAAACTTATGTTTGAGCAGCAAAAGTCGGTAAGATAATTCTTGAGCAAATGATCAAATGAAGTCTTTGTTTCCCCTGTGTTTCAAAGTCTGGCACGTTCCTAAGAAACCCCTTAGAAGTGTTGAGTGTCCGTTCTTGACAAGGAAAGACACGGTGGGAATGACAGGGACATACTGTTTGCATCTGTTAAATTATAGACATGTGAGAGAGCTATGGGGAAAATGGGGGGAATGGCTCGTTCATACCCTCCTGGTGGGAATGTGAGAAGTCTGGAATTTAATTGCAGCCTATTAAAGTAAACAAGTTCCATTAACTTGGCTGCATGATCTCGTTGTGGAAGGAAATTTATCAAGTTATTAAGGGGAGCCATCTCTGGGTGGAGGGATTATGTGTGTGTTCCTTTTTATGCTTTTATTCATTATTTATGAGAATATTTTTTATTAAGATAATATGCCATTTTAAAATTAAGATGTGCATACATTTTGACCTGACAGTGGCATTTTGGGGACTCTGTTTGAGAGAAATGAGGGCATGGGGACCTAGGAATTTATTACCAGATTGTTTATTGCAGCATTACTTAGGCTGGCAAAATACCTGGGAGCCATCTGCCTGCCTCTCAGTAGAGAAATAGCTAAGTAAATTATGGTCAGTCCATACCATGCAACATTATGCAGCTGATTAAGAAGCCTGAGTCTGTGTGTTTGTTGATCTGGAGGGATGTTCGTGATATTTTGTGAGCAAAGCCAGCAGCAGATTCAAGCAAGGAACTAGGTCTGATGAAAAACCAAAAACCAAAACCAGGATATAATAACCCTCCTCCATACGTCTCTGTGTGTTTTATGAACAAAGGAAAAAGTATGGAAGAATACACACTAATGTTGATTTTTGTCTGTATTGAAGGGGTTTGGGAAGATGGGCAGGAGACATGATTGCATTTTCCTTTGCACACCTCCGTTTTCTTTGACTTGTTTCGAAGAGCACATTATTTTCACGATAAGAAAAGGTTCCATTAAGTGTAAAGCTTAAAAAGTGGGGTTCGTATGGTGCACAGTGCCCGGTGGGTGGTGCACACCCCACAAACAGGAGCCTCTGCTGTCGGAAGAGGGCTTTGCCGGTGGCAGAGGTGGGTCCAGAGCAGAGCTGCAGAGCAGAGGGGATGTGGTACTTGGAGCCAGAGATCTGGTTTCTCCAACTAGCTGTGTGATCCGGGGCTGGCCACCTACGACACTCAGCCTCAAGTCTACTCATCTGTGTGATGGGGGCAGGGATTCCTGTCCCACCGGCCTCTAGGGAGGTCTGAATGAGGGCGTGGGACGGGGAGGTCAATAGTGCAGGCATTTTTAAATGATGAGCATATGAAAGTCACTAGAAGGGGGGCGCTTGGCTGGCTCAGTTGGTAGAGCACACAACTCTTGATCTTAGGGTTGTGAAGTTTAAGCCCCATGTTGGGCATGGTGCCTACTTATAAAAAAAAAAAAAAAGAACACACAATTGCTAGAAGACACTTATTAATTGCCTTCTGCATGCAGGCTTACAGTGGGCACAGGATGAGGCTTCTTGATAGGTGACTGTTGGCTGTGGGATTTTGGATGTATCTGAGGTAAAGAAATGGGGGCAGCATTTCTAGTCTGCCTAGATTGGAGAAAAATACAGTATTTTATAGAGTAAAACAGTCCATTGCATTGTGTTCATTTTCACATATTAGTTCTTGGTTTGCCAAATAGAGTAGAAAGACTCTGTAGGCTTTGGGGATTGAAAGTCCCAGAGGTTAGCCCCAGCTTGACCTTGGCTGACCACAAGTGATTTGGGGGAAAGTCATCTTTTTTCCGTTCACTCAGCCACCTCTGTAAAATAAAGGTATCAAATCAGGTCATTGGTTATGAAACTTTTTAAATTATATAACCTGCCCTTTTTTATATGAAAACTTAATTTAAAAAAACTGTATAAAAGCTGATCAAAACACATTTCTTAGGTTAAAATCTGTTTTATTTAAAATCAGTTCTTGAGAACAATGAAAATGTTTTGATGACAATGTACAAGTGAAATCCAGAATAATGACAATTGCTGTCTTACGCAATTGACCGGGATTGAGAAAGGCTCGATGCACTCAAGATAAGTAGTTGCAAATAACAGTTTATTTATAATCGGTTGCCTTGAAATTTCAGGATGCTGGTCTCAGACAGATGGCAGGCGAAGCTTGAGAATAAGGTTTGCACAAAAGCTAATTCATCTGCCAGCACAGGTTAACCCATTGGTGGTCTGTTTCCACTGTGATAAAATTCCACATAAGACTTATTTCAACCTGCACTTTTGTTATGGTTCTTTTTAAGGCTAATGTGTGTGTGTTTGGGAGGGAGAAGGGGAAGAAGACATTTGAGTCAGATTTCTGCAGAATCCCCGAATCCTCTGGGGGTAACTTAGTTTGCCCAGTTTTGGGGGAAAAACATCTGTACCAGAGGTTGCTTCTGTTGGCCAGAACACCACATTGAGCCTGCATTCTGTTGGACTTGGCCTAATGCTTTAGATATTTTTAAAATGAATTGCCTACATTTAAAACTTAAGAGATTCCATATTAAGATCTAGATTTTCTGCTTCTTTTGAAAAAAAAAAAAATGACATGTGGCTATATATGGGTCCTGAGTTCCCCATGAGGACTTCTGAGTAGGAAGGAAGCAAGCCGCCTCTGGTTTGCCCCAGCTCCCACCGCACCCCCAGCTCTCTACTAATTTATGTTGCCTATGGGACCCCAAAGACTTTGGATCTCCAGCACTAGAGGGTAGAGCTGACTTGGAATTTGGATAACAAAGCCCTAAGCTCTGTAGATAGTTAATGGCCAGCTTGAGAAACCTTACTACTCTTGTGCAGGTAAAATGCCCCACCCCTAGGGTCAGCATATAATTTACTTCCTGAGTTCCTTGCTGGCAGCACACAGCACGGAAAAGCAATAGCTGTGTGCTCTTTAGAAGCTCAGCTGGATTTCTTAGGCTTCTTCGGGGAGACAGAGCTGTTTATGGTGATAGACAACCCCCAGCCTAGATCCAGGAGTGGGTTCCTGCTCATCAGTAGCTTTCGGTTCCCAGCTTGAGGAAACCTGTGTCTGACCACCTCCTTACGTTGCTGCTCTCAAGCCTCAAAGTTTCTCAAAGTTTGGCAGCAGCAGGAGGACAAGAAACTAAATTCCATGCGTGTCCCCGGTGATATGCCTCTTAAGTAGGCTGTACTAACAATATTATGAATAAAGAGCATAGCGAACATTTCTTAAGTGTAAACTATTTGCTGGGTGCTGTGCTAAGTGTTGTCCGTGCATCTAATTCTCTTCTCTAATTGTGTGAGAGGCACTATTGTTATCCGCATTTTACAGATGAAGAACCTGAGTCTCGGAGAGGTTACTTGCTGGAGGTGACCTGTAAACTAGGTTACCATACAATAAGCTGCAGAGCTAGGATTTGAGTTCCCTTCTGCCCAGCTTTGGTGCCCAGCCACTGATAACTTGTTTTTAATTTTTAAAACATTTGTATCAAGGGAAATTTCCAACATACTTAAGCAGTGGTGATAGTGTAACAAACCCCATGTACCCATTAGCCAGCTTCAGCAGTGATCAACTCATGGCCTTCCTATTTCATCTTGTTCTTACCCACTTTCCTCTGCTCATGGGATTTTGTGTTATTTCTCCCTTAAATGCTTGAACGCCCAGCTTCCTAACTGCTGCTCTGCTCCCTCCCCACCAAACGTGTGAAGGCCCCCTGGGTTAGTAACAACCACGCATCAGGTATTCACAGGCTCTGATCTGCAGTGAGGATGGCTGGTTAATTTCCTTCTTGCTCTTGGTCCAGGACTTGAGTTTCACCCCTGTGGGATGCGGTGGTCAGGTTATTGTTTGTTCATCGGTTTTTACCCCCTGCCCTTCCATATGATGTATTCTCTGTACCCTCCTGTAGATTCCTTTGGAAATGTGTTAGGGTTCTGCATTAGCTGCATAGCAGTATCACCATGATGCTCATTGTTCTTTCAGTTTCTGGCGCTCAGGCATTTAGCTGAATTCTCTGCTTTGGGGTCTCATATGATTTCAGCCTAAGGCTGTGGTCTCATCTGAGGCTCAAGTGAGAGAAGATCTGCTTCCAAGCTCATGAGGTTGTGGAACAATGAGTTCCTTGCAGGTGTAGGACTGAGGGTTCAGTTTCTTGCTGGCCAGAGGCCACCCACAGCTCCTAGATGCTGCCCATAGCTCCCTCTGATGGATGGGGCTCTCCTGCATGGGTGCTAGCTTCCTCAAAGGTGGCAAGACAGGTGCTCAATCGTGATAGTGTCATCTTACAGTCTGAGACACATAATCATGTACATCCCATTACTTTTGCAAGTGGCAGGGAAATGGCAGGGGTGCAGACACTGGGAGGAGGACATCGCAGGGCCACCTTAAAAGTCTGTCCACCATGGGTTCCCATAAACCCAAGATTCAGAGTTGCTCTCCAGCAGCTCCCAAATAATCATCAGCTCCCAAATCGTGTCCAGTGTGATTCAAAGAACAAGTGCCTTCCCAACCCTGCAAGGTACCAGAAAACAAGCACACACGGCCTGCTACCATCCATCACCATCCCCCTGGACTCTGAATGTAGGTGTCTTCCGTTGCTTGTTTGCCTGTTAAGACAGAAAATAGGGGCGCCTGGGTGGCTCAATCGTTAAGTGTCTGCCTTCGGCTTAGGTCATTCATGGTCCCAGGGTCCTGGGATCGAGCCCCACGTCGGGCTCCCTGCTCCGCGGGAAGCTTGCTTCTCCCCCTCACACTCTCCCTGCTTGTGTTCCCTCTCTCACTGTCTCTCTCTCTCTCTCTGTCAAATAAAAAAAGCTATAATTTTTTTGAAAGGTGGCACTAATCTTGCTTTCGTGTTACTTGTAGCTGAGAGCAGTATTAAGTTTCCAGATGCTCAGTCTTTTCTCTTACATGGGGGTGATGGTACCTACCCTCCAGGCTTACTGAGAGGATAGAGAGGGCTCGTCGAGAGCAGTCCCCCCGCAGAGCGTCCCGTGCACAGCTGGCCCCCAGGACAGCCTGTCCTTTCCTGTGGCAGAATTACTTCAGGAAGAAGGGACTACAGCTGGTCTTGGTGCTTCAACAGGACCATCTTGGTCAGAGTCAGTGGGTTTCCCAGGGGGGTCCTTTGATACCTCACTGCTGAAGCACAGGACCAGGCAGCCCTTGATTGGAAATTCATTTCTGATGTTTCAGTAAATTGTATGATAAGCAAAGTAACGCATACTTACTACAAAGAAGTAGGAAGCTCATACAAATAGAAAGATAATTAAAATGTCTCCAAACCTTCAATGATCATACATTGAGGAGAAAGATTAATATTTATTCTTCGAGCTTTGACATGGGTGCCAGTGTGTGGGAAGTGAATCACATTCTGTAATGGTATTCTGGCTGAGGGTTCCAGAGAATATCGCAGATTATGCTAATGGGGGGCGGGGGGGGTTGGTTGGGGAGAACTGTCCACAGTACAGAAGTCAGCAGTGAAGCTCGGGTTAGCTTTTTCTGTTACTGTCATTTCCCCCTGGCCTCCTGGCACCGAATGGCTCACGTAACCTGCTACGCACAGAGGGTGTAGGGTGAGTCCTAGCCTGGAGGGTGCACTGCCCCCGCCCCTGGCCATGTGGGGAGACTCATTCCCTGAACTCAGGCTGACCTTGACGCCTCTGGGCCCTTGCTTTTGTAGTCCCCATCCTTTGGCACAGTCCCTTCCCTTGTCTCCTGGGAACAGAAGTCAAAGGTGACTTTTCCTTGTAGTCTTCAGTTTTCCCCAGAGAAAATTAATTTGTCCATTATTTTAGGCATTCATTCAACGTACGTTTGAGCCAGGAGGTCACAGTGGTTAATAAAACAGACATCTCCCCAGACCTCATGGATCCTTTGCTGGGGCCAAAGGGGTCAAGGATGTCACCTCTAGTCACACAGAGCCAACAGTGTCCTGGTTTGGTAGACTTTGACCACATAACCCCACACAGTAATGGTAGAATAACTTAATTGCTGTCTCTCCACTGTGTGCCTATAGCATCTAGCATATTCTTCTCTCATTGCTAGGATGCCACTATTTACTGTGTGTGCATCTGCATGTACCGTATGGGCCGGTGGAGAAGTACCAAGGTAGACCAGCGTTGAAATTCTGACCCCATGACGTTCTAGATATGTCATCTTGGAACACCTGCTTATCCTCCCAGAGGAGGGGGGGCGGGTCTGTGACTGACGTGGGGTTTGTTTTACTGCTTTCCTGATGGGAGGGGCACCAGGGGTAACTGAGGTTGTGGCTGCCCTGCATCAGCTCATGACAAGCCCTGTGAGTTCCCCAGGGCTGCCACGACAGACCCCAGCTAAGTGGCTGAAGAGAGAACAGACCTCTGCCTCTCGAGGTCCGGGTGCCAACAGCACTGAGTGCCCACTGATGTCTCTGGGGAGGATCTGCTCTTTGCCACTCTCCCCGCTTCTGCTGTTTGCTGGCCAGCCTGGGTGCTCCTCGCCGCGCCCCCCGTCTCTGCCTCTGTCATCACATGGCCACCTTGTCCTGGTCTGTGCCTGCTCCAGATGTCCCCCTTTATAAGGACTCCAGTCATGGCATTAGGGCCCGTCCTAATCCAGGAGGACCTTGCCTTCGCTTGATCACATCTGCAAAGATCTGATTTCCAAATAAGGTCACATTCGCAATGTAGGGGGGAGGGGTTGGGGCTGGCACAGGTCTTTTGGGGGCCACATACGTACCTATAACACATGCTGTAAACTCTTCCATCGATAGAATGCCCTCCCTGACACGTCTCCCCCGTCCAACTGCTGCCCCATCCCCCTGCCCCGGGACCTGCCCCAGGAGCACCATCAGCATCACTGTCTTGCACCTGCCTCCCCGTCTCCGTCTCCTGAGCCTCTCCCAGCCATGTGTCCCAGCCTCCCCCCTGCCCACTGCAGCTCATCTTGTCATCTCGCCAGTGACCTCCACGCTGACAAAGCCATTTGTCTCCATTCTCCTCTCACTGGGCTCACAACATCCTTGGCTGGGTCTCTGATTTCTTGGTGTCCGAAGGTTGGTCATCCCAGGCAGGGCCTGTGCTTAGCCAGACTCTCCCCTCTAACTGCCTCCTGGCCTTTGCATCTCACGCTGCAATGTCCAGAAGAGACCTCTCGACGCTTCTCTGCTCTCCCCAGAGCCCACTGCAGTGGGTGTGTGACTGGCCGCTCTGTTGGATGGGCCCGGGGATCTTCTCGTCTCTTCTACCTTCCATTCCCCATGACCCCCACCCCCACACCTGCCCTGTTGTTTTGCATCTTTGAATTCTGCTTCTGCTTGTGCAAGTGCTGAGCCTTTTGGCTTTTAATCCTTTCCCTGCCCTGCTCTGTACCCTGGGGGTGCTGGTTCCCACAAATACGTTCCCAGATGCCTCTGCCAGCAGGTTCAGCAAATGGGGTGACCAGGATGGAGACACAGGCATACGAGAGGGGAAGCTGGGGTGTTTCTCCCCATATTTTCTGGCTCTGGAAGCATCTCTGCAGTAGGGGCACCCCCTTTGTCCCAGCTGTCCACCTGGCTGAAATGGGGTGGAGCTTTTTTGGTGCTTCACTGAAAAGAAGGAAAGGAACCAGCTGGCTTTAAAGAGCGAGTAGAGTGGATAATTGAGGGTAAGTGCGAGACTGGGCTTCCTGCAGGTATAAGGGGACCAGTCTTGGGGTTCGGATTTGGAAGGGGTCTGGCCTTAAACACCAGGTCGATCTAGGGATCTAAGTGGCAAATGAGTCCAAATCCCAAAGAGCACGCACCGCCCCAAATCCCCTTCTTTTTTTTTTCTTTTTTTAAATAAAGAAATGGCTATGCTGTAAATTATACGTAAATAGAATGAAGAACTTCCGAGTTTTTCTGAAAGAGTGGCTCTTAACCTTTTTGGGTGACCTATTTCTTTGAGATGCTGATTAAAGCTATAGATTATCTTCCCAGAAAAAAAAATGCATACATGTGGAGATTTACACAGACCTCCTGATGCTTCCTGGGAGCCTGTAGATAATTTTTCCAGAAGGCTGGTTTTCCACGTGTCATCCTGGACTCCAAGCAGCTTGGCAAGAGGGCTGGGGAATCCAGAGCAGGAGTGCTATTTATATCATTAGTGCTTGTAACGTGCCAGTGGATGCATTTCCATTTGTGCCCTGAATTTTTTTTTTTAAGATTTTATTTATTTGAGAGAGTGAGCGAGCGAGAGAGAGAGAGAGAGAGAGTGTGTATGCCTGAGCAGGGGGAGGGGCAGAGGGAGAGGGAAAAGCAGGCTCCCCACTGAGCAGAGCCAGACGTGGGGCTCAATCCCGGGACTCCAGGATCATGACCTGAGCCAAAGGCAGACGCTTAACTGACTGAGCCACCCAGGCGCCCCGTGCCCTCAATTTTTCAAATGCTTATCGATTCACAGTCTCATTAAAGATGGTTAAGTAATGCTACATAAGTGATGTACATATTATGGAACACAAAGTTTTCAAAGTAGTGAGGCAAGACTATTTGAGGTTGCAGAATAATATGTAAAGCCTAAAATGAACAGCTTAAAGTTTGGAGACATGGACGTAATATAAGATATAATTAAATGAATATCTATCAAACACATTCTAGAAGGAAACCTACCAAATTACTGAGATTGATTACTTCTCAGGAGTAAGACTAAGAAGGGGGTGAGGAAGACTTCTCTCTTTTGTTTCATAACTTTCATAATTGCCTATTTAAAAGTCATACCAATTATAATTTTTTAATAAAAAACTGTTCATTTGCATTGCGTGGCTTGACTTGTCTAATGTTCTTATTTTTTTATGTGTTTTTCTTCTGTCTTCTATTTCAGATTCTTGATGAATTCAAAAAAGATTCTTCCGTGTTTATCTTGGGGTGAGGCACCTCTTCTGGGGTATTGTTCAGGGTGGCTGTGCTGGGCACAGGTGCCCTTTTGGAGCCTCCCAGTTGGGCCAGCTGGTGCCAGGAGGGCCACCTCTGTGGGTAGCCACTGGTCTCCACAGACAAGGTCTCCTACAGGGGGATTGGCTTTCCCCAGCCTGTGGCATGGATAAACATGAACAGCAACAGGGTTTGTGGAGTGGTGGGAGGGTGACCCAGAAGGTTCTATAGAGAAGCCTGTATGCCTTAGGACCTGCTTTCCCAGATAGGAATTTGGGAAATTCCTGGTTAAACAGGTTTAAGTGAATTAGAATGAGTTGATGCATATAAAGTGCTTCATGTGGTGTGTGGGGTGGCAAAGGGCTTGTAATAGTGATGATGGTATTATTATTACAGTGTAAGTGCTGCAGGACTTCTCAGGACCTTTACTGTTCTTTTTTTTTTTTTTTTTAAAGATTTATTTAGAGAAAGTACAAGTGAGCTGGGGGAGGGGTAGAGGGAGGAGGAGAGAGAGAATCTCAAGCAGACTCCGCGCTGAGCACAGAGCCCAACACAGCGCTCAGTCTCACAACACTGAGATCATGACGGGAGCCGAAACCAAGGGTCAGATGCTCAACTGACTGACCCACCTACGCGCCCCAAGACCTTCGCTGTTCTTACTAATTCCCCAAGTGGGGGATTTATGAAGTGTTCTGTGTTCCCAAGTCTGTCTGCCTGGGAAAATGTTTGGTCTGGCGTTAATAGCACCTAGAATAATTTGTGGCATGCTGACCTAGGCCTGCTTTTCAGAACCAGACCTCAGGGGTGAGAACACTCCGGCAGCTGATCCTTCGTCCCTTTCTAAACCAGAAACCTCAAGACAGCAAAGTGCATATGAAACAGATCTGATTTTTATGCAGTATTTTAAGGAAGAGGTTAGTGTTAGACCATGAGGCTGGTTAGCAAAGAAGGTTACAGATACACTCATGATTAAAGACATTAGACTTTTGAACCCTGAGTGTTTAATAAAGGGAACAGCTAAAAGTGTGTTTTATCTCCTGTATTTAAAAAGACCCCCCCCCACCCCCAATACACACGTACACACACAGAGACACCTTGCCAATGCTCAGGGTAAAGTACAGATTTCCCTGGAAGGCTCTGTTCTATAGAAACACCTTCCATAGAAACCAGAGTTGCTAGTCCAGTGAGGTCCCAGTATTTCAGTAACCGCGAGCATCGTCTCCCGTGAGGCCCTCTGTCAGCAGGCTGCTGGCTGAGGTGGAGTCTCCCTGTATTCAGGGTAAAGGGTTCCCTCGTCTCAAACAGAAAATCCTCCCAACAGTGGGCCTCTGCCTGTTCCAAAGCCTATGTCTTGCATCTTCCGGCTGATTCTCCCCATCCGCCCAGAATCTGGGGGCGGGGGGGGGGGCTTCATCTGGCCCCCACTCCTGCTTCAGAGCTCTCATTGACTCAGCAAGCTCTGCGTTGTGGCTTCTGAGGAGACCCTCTGATGGGCCCCGTTCACTTCTCCAGCATCAGCTTCCCCGAAATGCTGTCCACATTCAGCCCTACCCAAGCATTTGCTGTATGGCTTGGGTCTGCCCCCCCCCAATTGCTCTCTCCCCCCTTCCTCCCCTTTCCGCCTTCTCTTTTTCGTTAGGCCTTTGCATATATGGTTCCCTTTGCCCGAGACCCTTTCCACCTCCTCGTGAGCCCCTCCTCATTCTCTGAGACTCCATCAGCTGCTGCATCTTCCAGAAAGCCTCCCTGGCCCTCCAGGTCTGGATTCGTACCCCACCCCCCCTGCTTTCCATTGTCACTGCATTGCCTTACGGCACTGCATCCCCCAAGGCCACACTCCTGGAGGTGCTCTGCAGATCCCAGGGTGCGCTGGCAGCACAAGGGAGCAGTGAAATGCAGATTCCCGGGCACCACCCTCCCGGGTTCTGGTGTCAGGGCCCCTCCTTGCATCCTCTGAGGTCAGGGATGTGGGGTCTGTCACCTTGTCTCCCGGGAGGGACTCACAGCATGTCTGGTGGCAGCTTCTGTGGATTGTGTCCTGTCTAAATATCCTCCCTTTCCCCGAGGGCAGCAACACCGACCGGCCCGACGCCTCTGCCGTTTACCTGCACGACTTTCAGCGCTTTCTCCTACATGAGCAGCAGGTGAGAGACGCGCAGGGCTGGGGGAGCAGGGCGGAGCTGCCTGGGCCTCTGTCTCCCCTTCTCCCCACCTGCCACCTGGCCTGTGATTGAAACACGGGTGCTCCCTGTCCAGGGCCACTTCGGTGTCTCGGACTCTGGAAAGAGAACAGCCTCATCTGGGCCCCCTTCCCAGGCACAGACCGAGGAAGGGGGGAGAGTGAGCGCAGTCCAGGGTAGCGGGGTGGTATGTGCCGTGCCCCCCAGCCCCGCCCCACCCCGGCTGGCTTCTGCGCCTTCTCTTGGCTCATTGCACGTGTCCCTTTCCCAAAACCTTCCCTGGCTGATGGGAAGCTGTGACCGGGTGGACGAGCCTGCCAGGTCCTCCGGGGGATAAGACAGCATAGCTGTCCTTTAACGAATGACACGTGGCGAAGTCTCTGGCGTGTTTGTGGACAGGCTGGTGGCAGAGTGAAGGGGTTTTGTGTTGGGCAGTGGTTTTCCATCAGGGTGGTTCTACCCGTTTTTGGTTGTCACAACTGGGCGGGCTACCGGCACTTAGTGGGTGGAGGCCAGGGGAGCTGTTCTACATTCTGAAATGCGCAGGACAGCCGCCCCCGACCGAGGGATTACCCGACCCCAAAGGCCTGTGGTGCTGAGGTTGAGACACTCGGGGTTCAACGGAGAGAAGAAACCTGAGATCCCCTTACTAGCCGTGCGACCTTAGGCGGGTGGTTTGACCTTTCTGCTCTGCAGTTTCCTCTGTAAATGGGGATGGGAGCCCTACTCCCCAGAACTTGTCAGACTGAGTTATCTCTGTGTATGTGTAGGATGAGTCTGTATAAATGTGCATATACGTGTAGGTACTTAAGTTTTTATGTATCTCACTGGCGTTGCCTTTATTTTTTTCCTCATTTAATTGTTTGGTTTTGTTCTTTGTTTTAATCGACTTTACTTTTTTAGAGCCGTTTTAGGTTCATAGCAATATTCAGTTCATTTACTTCTCCAAAAACTCAGTACTGCAGAACACCTCAGACACAGACAAGAGTGGACAGACCGGCTGGCATCATGGATCACCATGTACCCATCACTCCGGCCGAGAAATGATGCACGTGTCTCCAATTTTATTTCACCTGTCCTCCTCTCCACACCTGTGTGCCCCCCTTCCCTTCCCCCTCTTCTTCATTTACTTCCCCTTCTTCTTCATACTCGCTGGAATATTCTAAAGCAAACCCCAGACTGTGTATCAGTTCATTTGTAAATGCCTCAGTGTCTCTCTCTCAAAGATAGACTTTTTTTTTTTTTTTTTTTTTTTTTTTACGAAATGTAACCACAACACTAACTTCTTAATGTCACCCAATGCATATCCCACATTCAGATTTCATTGATTGTAGAGAAAATAATTTTTTTTTTTTTTTTTGCACGAGGCCAGCTACATGGAGGCCCAAACAACGGTAGTAGCCCCTGTGGTGCCTGATGAGTGGGGACCGAGGACATGGGGAGGCCATTGCTTTCCCCCCGTGTGCTTGAACCAGAGTGACCAAGAGAGGGCTTGTTTGCTCCCCCCCGAGACGAGAGCTGAAGTGGGGTGCACTGAAGGGGCAAATGCACTATCTGGGCACCTTACATGCTGGGCACTGTGCTCCCACAGCATAAAGCAGAGAGAGCGGCACATGCTCTTCTTTTTCCCTTTTTTTTTTTTAAGATTTTATTTGTCAGAGCGTGCACACACACAAGTGGGGGGAGGGGCAGAGGGAGAAGCAGGCTCCCCGCTGAGCAGAGAGCCCCGATGGATGATGCGGGGCTCAATCCCAGGACCCTGGGACCGTGACTTGAGCCGAAGGCAGATGCTTCACCGACTCAGCCACCTAGGTGTCCCAGCAATATGCAATTAAAACAAAAACTTTGGGGGAAAAAGGTTTATATACTTTGATTAAATAATTGCCCTTCTAGGAACTTATCTTAAAGAAGTAATGGCAGAATCCTTAATGGAAATGAAAACTTGCAAGTAACCTCAAAGTGCCCACTGGAGGACTAGTTAAATGTGCCACAGCCCAGCCCTGGGTCGGATAAAAGGAAGTCTCCAGAACTCATGTGCCTGGGTTGGTCTTGGGCTCATTGTCAGGTCTCGCTATTTAATGATGTGAAGCCTCAGTTTCTCCACTTATATAACATGGAGAGTAATATGTACCTCCTGGGGTTGTGGGAGTTCAAAATGAGCCACTGTGTGAAAAAGGTTTAACATGGAGCCTGGCAGGCAGTCCGTGCCCAGGGCTGACTCCCATCACTGTTCCCTTCCTTCACTCTTCTTAACATTTTCATTATTATAGCTGCCTGGCACATTACCCCACACCGAATAGGTACTTTTTTTTTTTTAACCCCCAGATTATTGGTATTTTAAGCTCTTTAGGCAGAAGATTTCTTTATACCCAGCCAGGCTAATTCCAGGTTACACTAGGTAAGGACCCGTGTTTGTTAATAAGTGCAAAAGCTTTGGAGGAGAAGGAAGGGGGGCGCCGAGGGCTGGGGAGGCATTTGCATTAAGTAGCCCGCGATTTGAGTTTTGTGTTCTAGTATTCAAAGATTCTAACACCTCGTATGCTGGTGAGCTGGCTTTTCCTCAGCCTCATGGCTGTTTTGTGTCCCTATCCAAGGAGATTTGCAAGTGTCAACAGCAAAGGCTCAGTGTTGATCTGTCACCCATGTCCCAGCGAGGCCGTTCCTCACGGCCTTGTATCTGTCCTTATGCCTTTGCTTCTTTCACACACCCCTGTCTGACCCTTCCCACCCAGCCACACACGTACCTGGTAGCACATTTGTTTTTACTATCCTGAAAGGCAGAGCTTTTAGAATATTCACAACCCGTAAAACATGAGTCAAAGGTGAATCTGTGTGTCATGTTTCATCTTTTTGCCTATGAATATATGGGCTTTTAGGGATTAGAGAGGAAAACAGTAGAGTCACTTTATATTGTGTATTCTTTTTTCTAACGGGCTTCTGCATTTCCAAGCTGCAGAACCTGTTCTTCAACTGCTGGATGTGTATCTCAGACCTCATCCAAGCCTCTGCGCAGCATTACCTGGCTGACTCTTTTGAAGAGAGGACATACTCTGTGTCAGTTTATTTGGAACCCTCACTCAGCTCCTTACTAGTTGTGGGAACTTGGGATTGTCATGTGACATCCTGAGCCTCTGCTTCCTCCTCTTTCCAGTGACAATGTGTGACCTGCAGAGTTGCGTGGGCTAACAGAGGTGACCATATGAGGAGGATTGTTTGTACCAGCTGCTGGGATTGGAGCGGTGTCTGTGTACGAGATGCTGTGTTAAATCCGTAACCTTATTTCATACAGCCGTTCACAGAAGCTGCACCTGGGTAGCATTCTCATGTAATAGAGGAGGAGGCACAGGGAGGGTACATAGCTTGCCAGGGTCAGCCAAGTGAGTAACCCTGGGCAGTCTAACATCATTGTGCTCGCCGTCCTCTTCACGCTAATCAGTGTAGAGAACTGGCATAGGGTAGGAGTTGGCGAACTATGGCCCGTGGGCCGAATCTGGCCCACCACTTGTTTTTGTAAATAAAGTTTTATTGGAACACAGCCATGTCCATTTGTGTATGTATTGTCTATGGCTCCTTTTGCAGTACAGGAGCAGAATTGAGTGGTTGTGACCCAAAGGCTAAAATGTTTAACCCTCTGGTCCTTTACAGACAAGGTTCATCCTGTACAGAGTAATGTGTGATACGTGGCGCCTGATTGCATATGCATCTGAAATACGTTGATATTTTGGTCTTTGATGGGAAACTGGATCCTGAGAGATGAAGGATTTTGCCAGTCCTCTTTCTGATGATTTCTTGTTCTCTCTGTCATTCGAAGGAGCTTTGGGCTCAGGATCTGAACAAAGTCCGTGAGCGGATGACTAAGTTTATCGACGACACCATGAGGGAAACTGCCGAGCCCTTCTTGTTTGTCGATGAGGTGAGTGGGCTCCTTGTCAGCTTGCCTTGACTTTTTGATTCACGTCTATGACCTCTGGCTTTTTTCTGGTTCTCTCCACTTGGAGGGCTTTGCTGTTATCTGCCCCCCAATTGACTCTGTTGGTTGAGAGCTGGTTTTCTTCTAGGTTCTGAATTATAGCCTTCTGTCTTGCTCATCCTTCTCTACTGGGCTGTATATCCTGGGTGGTTTCTTGGCTTTCCCCGCCAGAGGACGTCTGCTGCCAGGGAGCATCTAGCAATCACAAGCACAGCGACCAGATTTGAAGGTCGATGGGGCGCCTGCATCTGCCCTGGGTGAAGCAGCAGGGGAGGTGGGGCCGAGAGGAGAACTGTGGTACTCCTGCCTCACGTAAGGCTGGTCCCAGGCAGCAGAGTGTAGCCCTGTGCCACTCAATCTGATTTTTTTTTTTAAAGGGGTGAGTGAGGAATTGGGGTAGGAAATTTCCTGCCTTTTCGATGTTAGGATACCGGTGATGTTCTTTTGCTTTAGGTTGGGTGGTTTGAGTACAAATATTCATGGTATTATTATGCCTTAAAACTTACATGTGGGAGGCCTGTACGCTTGTATCAACTATTTTAGGCTACACGTTACAAAGGGAAACGTCACCCAGTTGAGTGAAAACATGTGTCCGTATATCCTCTTGCAATCTGAGCATTCTGCGTTACAAATTTGGGTACCTGGGGCCAGGAGACCTTCTTGTGAGTTCCCGTATCAGAGCTGCCATCTCCCTGTGTTGGCCGAGACCAGAAAGATCCAGGCCCCACCCATCCTCATCATCCTCGTTGAGGATCTCATCTCTGTGACTCTCCTAGTTCCTCACGTACCTGTTTTCGCGGGAGAACAGCATCTGGGATGAGAAGTACGATGCGGTGGACATGCAGGACATGAACAACCCCTTGTCCCATTACTGGATCTCCTCTTCGCATAACACGTGAGTTTCTCGGTGAGCCTGTGATGGGCCGGGCGGCTGCGCCCAGCTCTGGTGAAGCGTGTGGGAGCGGGCAGAGTGCAAGGCCACACTCCTCAGACTAGAACGTACAAAAGCTTCTGAAAGGGGCATGGGAATACACCTGGCCCTTTCCCAGTTGGTATTTGCAATAATCATGTTTTTTTTTTCTATGACCCTAAAAAGCAAGTTGGCAAAGCTGGTTTTCACGGACATCTCTTAGTAGCCACGGCAAAGCAACTGAATGAGTTTTTGAGCTGATATTTGAGTGTCTGCCCTGTGCTGGGCCCTGTGCTTGCTGGGTGCTGGGGATATAGCAGGGAAGAGAGCAGAAGCAGCTCTGTCCTTATGTACTTGGAGGGGAAAAGGCCTCCTTTGTTTTGTTCTGTTTTGTGTTAAAGATTTATTTATCTATTTTAGAGAGAGAGAGAGAGTGCAAGCCCATGAGCTGGGGGAGGGGCAGAGGGAGAGGGAGACCAGCAGACTCCCCGCCGAGTGTGGAGCCCCGTGCAGGGCCCAATCCCAGGACCCCAAGGTCACAAGCTAAAATCAAGAGTACCACACCCAACCGACTGAGCTCCCCCCCAGGTACCCCAGAAGGCCTCCTTTGATTCAAGGATCAACAGGAATTGATGAGAGAACAGGTGGTGAGGCAAGGAGGAACCGCATGTGCAAAGGTCCAGGGGCAGGAGGAACTGAGGGGGATTAGACTGTAGAATCCAGGAGGGTGAGTTGCAGGAGAGGAGGACAGCAGTTCTGCTTGAGTGGAACCTTTTAAATCACAGCAAAGGTCACTTGGCAGTAGGAGCCGCTGATGGCTTTGAAGCCAGAGAGCAACACATTCACGTTTACATTTTTGGAAGATTATCCTGATTGCAAAAGAGAGGGTAGACTGGAAGGGAGAAGTGGATGTTGCACTCAGGTTCCTGTATTTAGTCTGCTTGTAAGGTGAGAGGGTGAAAGTCTTGGGGCCTGGGCACCTGGCAGATTGTTACCTTCCCAAGCGTCACCACAGGCCCAGGAGTCAGAGAGACGGCATTTTGGAAGGTGACGTCTTCTTAGGGGCAAACTGATTGCATGATTCTCGCTTTCCCACCATGTCTGTTGGCTTAAGAGTGCTGAATCCTACCAAACCCAGAGGATAGTGAAGGAACGTGACCTCGTAAAAGGGGTGGGGGTGCAGAATGGAGAGGAGGAAAGTGCATACAAATACGCATTTTTATGTCAATTTTGGTGGACAGAGTTCAAAGCATAGTGAATTCCAGCAATAGTTCTTCAAGAGCTGTGCCTGGCCTGGAGCCCTGATACCAAAATGGTGGCCCATCATTGGACGAAGGGCCTCCTGGGCACCATGGTGGTGGTGGGTGGGGTAGTAGGGTCATTAATTGATTGCTATATGTCAGTTTCACTCCTGATACCCTTTGACCAAGTTCTTCTCCAAAGAATACACAGTCTTGACTCTTCCCTAGGATCGCCAAGGTGGCTGTTGTCCACATCCTGCGATTTTGGCCTTGAGCCTAAAGCTCGTGACTGGTGTGGCCACACGATTGCTTGTGTCTGGCCCAGATCCTAACCATGGATCTTTTAGACAGGAAGGATTCAGGATGTTGGGCACTTGGACTGAGAAGTTCCCCAGGATGCCCCAAGGTGCAGCCCTGCCCCCACATGGCCACCGCCTCCTCTCCCTCAGGTACCTCACTGGTGACCAGCTGCGGAGCGAGTCGTCCACGGAAGCATATATCCGCTGCCTGCGGATGGGGTGTCGCTGCATTGAGCGTGAGTACCATTTTCCCGGTGGAGATGACACGTACGGTGAATTGAGGTCTGCCAAGTAGCTGCTCGATGCTTTTTGTTGTCTGAAAGGCCTGAGTCATGGGGGTGAGTGGGACAGGCAAAGGGAGGATCCGGGTGCCCGTAGCATCTGGGGGTGGAGGATATGGCCACCAAATGCTAGGCACCTTTCCCCAGAAGATTTCCCCCTGGACAAGGTATGGTGTTGAGCCTGGCTGGGCTGGAGTCAGAAACCCTGAGGCAGTGGTTTGGGGCATCTAGAGAATGTCCTGATGTAGTGGCAGGGCTGGGAGTCCAGTACCAAAGATGGCTTTGTTACGCTATTTTCTCCTTCAGCTTCCCTCCAGGCTGTTATTTGAGGAAGGCAGGAGCCCTCTATGTTTTAGCATCTGGCCTACCTGCTTTTCGTAGTTGCTCACAGTCACCCCAGCACAGACGATCCAGGCCCCTGGACGCACTCAGGAGCCCGCTGCTTCCTCCTGGCCTGACTGCGCCACCAAAGGCGGGTGGGTGTACTGGGCTGAGAAAGGGCACAGAGCACTGATGGAAGTTCCAGTTTTATCAAGCACATTCATCAGAGCATCAGACTCGAATGGCGCTTATTCCTACAGACGTTTGCCTGATGTATGCCCTCCACCCCAGAAAAAAGCAAATGTGAAAAAATCAAGTTTGAAACGGTCAGCTCCTCTTACCTCTGGGGGTTGAAAATAGAGGGGATGTTCACCTTCTACATAATCAAGTTCTGTTGGAATATTTTCCTGTGAACTTTAAAAAAGTAAACGTTTCATTGCTCTTATTATTTCCATTAGAAAAAGCAAGCCAAGTGAAATCAGAAAAAAATCCCACATTATAAATCTCTTTAAAAAAAAAAAAAGGAAACATTGAAATTAGTTTCTTTGGGACAAATGTATTGGGGACCTTTAATTAAGCAACCAGAGTCTTCCTGTAACTGCAGGAGTAATGCACGTACACAGATAACGGGGGTCCTCGTGTTGCTGCCCCCTGAGGGGAATTACTGGGTGTGGCCCCCATGTCCTAGTGACTGAGCCATGGTGGGGGCCGGGGCCGAGCTTGCAGCTGCCCGCCCCCCCCACAGTGTGACTGCCATCAGTGGACTCTTGAGGTGGGGAGAGACAGCCGGGTGTTGAGACTACACGTTTCTTCCCTCAGTGGACTGCTGGGATGGGCCGGACGGGAAGCCCATCATCTACCACGGCTGGACACGGACCACCAAGATCAAGTTTGATGACGTCGTGCAGGCCATCAAAGACCATGCCTTTGTCACTTCAAGGTCCGTTGACTGATTTCCTGGTGGTTCGTCTTTAAGGGAAAGGTGGACAGTCGCCCTCGTGCATGCACACACAGTCACACACAGTC